ACAACTGCGAACGCCTCAATTCGGCCTCACACCACGTCGTGAAACTCACCCTGCCTAATCTCACAGCAACATCTCACAACCACTGTATCCCCTCTCACAGCATCCATCCTCACAACCCAATCCCTTTTTTTCCGCCCTCGTTCGTGATTCACCTCTCTTCGTCTTAGTGCCTGACTCACTCGCCGTCTTAACCCCACCTCATCTACAAAACCCTCACCTTCACCCATAACAGCCTCTAAACCTCCTCTTCATCCTTCAAACACCACTATAACGTCAAACCAAACACCATGGCTTACAACGTCCTCGTAACAGGCTCATCCGGCCATCTCGGCACAGCCCTCATGCTCTCCCTCCCGACATTCGGCTTCACACCTCTCGGGATCGACATCTTACCCTCTGAGAACACAACACACGTTGGATCAATCTCAGACCGCGAGTTTGTCACATCTCTTCTTCAGAAACACCCCATTCAGCATGTCCTTCACGCTGCGACGCTTCATAAACCTCATGTCGAGAGTCACTCCAAGCAAGACTTCATCGACACAAACATCACCGGCACCCTCGTCCTTCTCGAAGAAGCCTCCAAGCTCGGTGCCCAAATCGAGAGCTTCATCTTCTTCAGCACAACAAGCACTTTCGGCGCAGCACTGAGCCCCAAGCCCGGCCAGCCCGCCGCCTGGATCGACGAAACCGTCGTCCCCATTCCCAAAAACATCTACGGCGCTACAAAGGTCGCAGCGGAGGATCTGTGCTTCCTCGTCCAGAAGCAAACAAACATGCCTGTCGTCATCCTCCGCACAAGCCGTTTCTTCCCGGAGCAGGATGACGATGAAGATCGCAGAGCAGCTGTCTCAGACGACAACCTCAAAGTGCTCGAACTGGCGTATCGTCGCTGCGACATTGAAGACATAGTCCGCGCGGCAGTCTGCGCGATGAAGAAAGCCCGAGAGATAAAGTTTCGGAAGTACATCATCAGCGCGCCGCCGCCTTTTCCGAATGACGCTGACACGCTGGCGATGCTGGACAGAGACCCTAAGCAGGTGTTTGAGACGGTTGCGCCAGAGTGTGTGCGGGTCTTCAAGGATAAGGGCTGGAGTCACCTGAAGAGGATCGACCGTGTTTATGACTCTAGCAAGGCGGTCGAGGAGTTGGGCTGGAAGCCGGAGTTTACGTTCAAGAAGGTTGTTGAGTTGGTTGGGGAGGGCAAGGAGTGGAAGAGTGAGTTGACAGGGAAGGTTGGGAAGAAAGGATACCATGCTGTCAGTCATGGCGTTTACACTGTTCGATGAATTAGCAGCCCCAGAATTGGCAATGGAGGAGGGGATACAACGAAAAGCTTGACGGTGGTTCTTGGACGAGACACAATTGACGCTTATGATACTAGATCCTCAGTGTGAAAACACCAGACCTTACTTAATACAAGGTGTTAAAATAAACTAAGCAAGAGTACCCTAAACTTGGTAAAAGCATCCTAAACTTATGTTAAGTTACCCAAGTCTTTTCATCATTTAGGATCAAACAAACTCGTATTCGCTATGTATGCTAATTCTAACCAACAGCCCTCTCAAAATCAGGGTATCTATACAACACTACTCAACCAAACTTGATTCCAGAGTTGGGGTTCCATGTCCCAGGTGCAGGAGGCTGCCCTGAACCACCAGATTGACCAAACTTGATACCCATGCCAGGAGTCCACATTGCACCAACCGGTGTTGGCTGTACTGGTTTTGGCTGCTGTACCGCCTCTCCCCAAGACTGTATGTTTGCCTGAGCTGGGCTCTGCACAGGTTGAGGGGGTTGTTGTGGTGGTGCACATGAGTGGAGGGGGTCTTGGTGTGACGGCATTGGGCTTTGGGCCGGAGGTTGTTGGTGAGAGATGTTGAGGTTTGACAATGTCGGCATGTTAATTTCCCTGTGATATCAGTCAGTAAGAGGTCCGTAGAAGGTTGGTGAGGGACATACTCTTCCAATGCTCGCGCCTCCATACGGCGCTGAGCAATCCATCCACGAATAACATCACGGAAACCCTGTCCAACAATCTTATTCAGATCATTGTAAAACTTGCGTCCGACTTCGAGGTTGTTGATAATCTCCTTGTACTTAAAATAGGCGTTATCAAGCTTCTGCAAAGCCACCTCGCGTTCTCGGTTCCCGCGCTCACCCATCTGTCGCTTCTGCGACTCAAACTCGCGATTGATACGCTGAACATCGGCCAATAGACGTTCTTGATCCTTGGCTTCCTTTTCAATCGCTTCAACCTCGGGCTCATACAGCTTGTCAAGTCGTTTGTCGAAAAACTCCTCAAAGTGAGCCGGGACGAGCGCTGTGTTAGGATACGCTCGCTCCAATCGGGCTGCTTCCTTCAAGATGTCCGGCTTGATGTCGTCGCGCCGGGCGTTTTCCCGCAAACTTTCAACCTTCTTACGACGACGGCTCTCAAGACGAAGAACATCGTTGTATGCGCCGCGCAATCTTCCTATGACAGGCTTCAATGTCTCGGGTATGTCAACCCGTCGGCTCGACGGCACAGAATCCATCAGATCTCGGTCCGGTCCGGAAAGAATAGCAAGCAGATCCTGGATCGCGCCGAACTTCTCCCTGACAACCGCATCGCTACTGATACTGCTTTGGAAATAGCTCTCGATCTCAGAAGCGTGCTGCCAAAGCTTCCCACCTTGAGGGTCTTGCCGACTCTCGGGTCGCACCCATCGGTCTGTTCCGTATCTCATCCGTAATCGCTGATCTTCTTCTTCTTCCGAAGCTAGAGCCGCCTTTCCCTCTTCGAAGATTGCCATATCTCCAGACCGCAACTTGTCGATATCCGCAAAACCCTTTTGCACCCTGCCAATGGCATCCGCTTGTCTGATTTCCTCAGCATGTTGGGCCAAGCTTGGCGGCAGACCAAGAGGTTTCTCAAGAGCTTGTAAAGATCCAGGTAGCCCAAGCGATGTGAGAATTTCGTGAACCTTGTCTGTGAGCGATTCGAGTTCCGGAATAATATTTTGGCTAACCATGCGATCGCGTCGTTCCTCGTAAATCGATGTGGCGACATGCACCGAGAAGGGGACAAGTCGAGAGAACAGAGCTGGTCCGAACTCGGCGTGGTCTCCAAAGTAGTCATAGGGGTTGGCAACCTGCGGTGGTACCCGAGCTACGGCCATGTTTGCGCGATCAAGAATCTTGAGCTCCGACTTTGGTGGTACAGCAACTGCAAATGTTAGTACTCTGCCAAGAAAGGGTCGCAGCGCACATACTCAGGTAGATAACATCGTTATCCTTCTCTGCTCGCTTCAAATCTTCTTCAACCTTGCGCTTCAATCCATTGAGGTCATCAACCACCGTCTTGCCAAGATAGCCACTTCGGGCTTCCTTAATGCCCTCCGTCGCACAAGCAACAGCATCTTTGAGTCGCGCAACCTCTTCTCCATATTTCCTCTTCTCAAGACAATCGCATGCAGCTCGGTATTGCGCAGCAGCGGCAAAATGATGATGCTTGGCGCTCATGTGGTGGATCCAGGCACTGCTTATAGCTTCGCTCTTCATAGCAGCTTCACCAGCAAAGTTATACAGGTCGGACACTCGAGCGGCGAGCTTGGCGATTGACGCATCTTTGTAGCCATCCATAACGGCTTTCTGCCAGAAGCATTCTTGACTCTGGGCAAGGAGCAGTTGGATCAAGGACTCTAGTGTATCGTGGTCCATATCTTCGGGGGGATCGGACATTCGTAGTTCGGGGAGGATCTCTTTTTGCATGTGTGAGAGCACGCCTGCAGCGAGGGAAAAGTAGTTGGCTGCTGATTTGAGACCTTCGGTGTTGCCTCGCGGGGTGTTGATGGCTAACTGGGAGTAGAGGGAGGCGAGGTTGTAGAGAATGTTCATAAGCTCGTACTTGAGGTTGTTCCGCACCATAGGACGCTCGGTGTTATATCCGAGCGCAGGATACCACGAAAATTCGGCGCCAATCTTTCCACCAACGTCAGTTTGTTGTGCTGTTCACTAGCATCGCGTGACACTTACATCTATAGGAAACTTGCCCCCAACCCAAACAAGCTGCCCGGCATACGCTTGTAGCTTCTTGATGCCACTCGGATGCGGCTCTCGAACGTTCACCGCGTCACGTCGAAGTGCGTCAATGACCTCGAGGTCATGTTTAAACATATCCGGGTGCTGATCATATTTGGTGTTGATATACTGCCTTATCGTCGAGGCAAGCGACAGCTGGGCCGACTTGCGAAAGGGGATGGATAGGATGTTTCTGAGGGACGAAATGTTAGCTGAAGTGGAGGGATTTCCGGTATAGCTGGGTCTTCTTACGACGACATGGCTTCGTTTGTGAACCTGACTTGCGGGTTCGGTTCTTGAGCCTATATGTTGTAAAGTCGGCTTTTTTGCCAAGATCGCTGGGCTAGAGTTGCAATGACTTCATCAGAGCTTGGAGCTAGGTTGCGGAGGCGCCACGTTGGAGGGGCAATGACATACGATGTGGCGCAGCAGTCGCTACCCTACAGTTTTCAGACCAAACTCTTACAAGTCACTCGGGGACCAAGAAAACACAAGACTGTAGAAGAGCATATGAAACAAACTGAGTAAAGACTCTCCTAAGCTGAGGCTAAATTACATAAGTCTTTTCGTCCCTTAGCATAAAGATCCCAAGTTTGCTTTCCTCCCCCTGGGTGTCTATGCCAGGGCCGAAGACATATTGGGTACTCATTATCATTAAGCGTAAAAGAAGACATCTCCTACGTGACCTTGAATGACAGACACAGAGAGTACCAACTGTACAAATAGCCAATATTATTGGTGGTGTTATTCACCCTTTGCATCTACATGCTTCTATAAATACCAGGTTGAAGAAATTCGCATACAGTTCAATAGATCGTGTTCGTGTTCAAATAATGCAATTGTGATTTTGGCTAAAACTACTCGAAATTCATAACTAGAGACCGATCAAAAAATTACCTCCCTCACTCGTGGTATCTCATTAATATCCATCCTCGTCTCTAACGGTACTTCACATCTCCAACTTCAGGTCGGTGAACTCCATCATCGACATATCCCGGAGGCTGTGTCTGTCCCGCACTAGCCCCCGACGCCACCGGCGCCGCAGGATCGGTGGAAGTGGGGTCCCGATCGGTCGGAGACACGGAATTTACCTTGAGAGATCCGACCTCAGCACCCTTCAGAGTCTCGAGGAGATTGCGCGCACCGGCGGGCCACATGCCGCTCTGGCGGGGAACTTCTCCTCGGATGATCTGCTCAACTGAGACGCGCTCGCCGTAGAAAGCTGCGTTGGCATCCTTGCGCTCGACGACGACGGTGCCGTCGACTTGGATGCCTGCGTAGAAACCGCGGGACTTGACGTAGGAAAAGACAGGCTTGAAAGCGCCGGTGCTCAAGCTGCGGCGCTTCTTCTTCTTGTCGGCATCGGTCTCTGGCTTCAGGCCTTGGTTATCCTCGGTAGGGCGGGGAGGCTTGGGTGGAGCCTCATCGTCCTTGTTCTCCTTGTCCTTCTTCTTTCCATCCATAGCGGCACCAATCTCGACAGCACCACCGGCGCCATAAGGACCAGCGACAACAGCAAGGTCACTACCTAGAGCAACACGGGTCTTGGCGAAGGCGTTGAGAGCCTCTCGGCTGTTGATGACACAGACACAGTCGTAAATGTCAAGACCGATCATGAAACCAGCGCCAACGGAGTGGACTTGGATACCTGAAGGAGGACCCCATGATCCATCGGGGAGACGAGAGATCAAGATACCTGAACCAGTGGCACCAGAGAAAGCGTAGCCGGCACGAAGAGTCGTGAAGATAGCGAGACCTTGGGCCTTGGCGATGACCTTGGGAGGGATGTTGACAAGAACTCTCTTCTTGGGCTTCTCTTTGGTGGGATCGATGATCTCGTCATTAGTTTCCTGTGCCTTTGGGTCTGTTGATGTAGGAACCTGGCTAGAGCTAGGATCGGCGTAGACACCGTTTTCTGGAGCATGTGAGTGGATGTTCTGGTCAAGCTGTATGGGTAACTTACTACAGAAGGACTTCAGAATAGAAGCTGCCTTGTCACACTCCTTGTCGATAGTCTCGGGGAGGAAACTCTGGCTACCAAACTTGTGCGCCAAGCTGTTGATAGGTGCAGCGGCCTTGATACCAAGCTGGCTGAACTTTTCGCTCCAGCCAGGCTTCTTATGTGTCTCAGGATGCGCGGAAGTCGAAGCCTGGGCTGTGGTTGTCTCTGGACCATGGCCGAAACCGTGACCATGCGTAGGAGCTGTCGGGCTTGGTTGAGGAGGCACCTGAGCCTGAGCTGGCTGATTCGTAGGAGGGGGAGCAAAAGTAGGATGAGCAGGGTCGTATTGCGGAATAGCGTAGTTTTGCTGGGCTTGCTGAAACTGCTGAGCGTCAGAGGGCTGGTGAGTCTCCTGATGCTGTTGAGGCATAGCAACTGGATTGCCCTGGAGAGGGTTTGGGTGAGCAGCGGAAGCTTGGTGTTGATCTTGCGCAGGAGGAGGACCGGGAGGAGGGGGAGGGAAGTACTGCTGCTCTAGCTGGCGCTTCTCCTCTGCAGCACTGGGATATTGCTCGGTTCCGGCAGTGGACGAAAACGGAGGAGGTTGCTGCTGGCTCTGGGATCCGGCGAACTGGACATATTGATCTGGATTTTGGGGTACGCGGGGCTTCTCGTCTCCAGGAAGCTCAGCAGATCCTTGGTTGTACGCTGGAGGCAGAGAGGAGTCTTGAGGTTGATTCTGGGAAGGGTCGGCGGTAGGAAGAAGACCACCTCCATGCTGGCCACCAGCGGAATACTGGGGAGCTTTCTCAGGATTCGACATCGGATTATAGGTACTGATGGAAATCTGTAGTTAGGTGTTGTAGTTGTAAGGTTTGAGGTTGAGAGTCAATGGCGGGGTAGCTTCGTGTCAGGTATAAGAGCTAGAAACAGGGAGAGGGAGTAGACTGAATCTTAGGTTCTGGACGGGAGATGTCTTTAATAGATGAACAGGTATTTATTAGGGACGATTCACTGATACAAGAGGCCTCGTCACTTCGAGACTCAAGAGTGGCGTACGCGACAATGCGAAACCGGTTCCATGAACTGCAAGGAACCTGAACCATTCTGTGACAAGCCGCACGGGATTGATGTCATCATGGTGGCTTGGCGATAAGGTGCTTGCGTGGCTGAATTTCAGGGTCCTACACAGCCACCATGTCAACCAACGCGACCAATGCGAGCTCTTCCACCGTATCCCAGAAGTAAATTGTTGGGGAGCATGTGAAATTGTGGGAAATATTGAAATGGCGGCAATCTCAACTTATCTAGACATTTTGTAGATACTGCGTTTTGTATGATGCGATGGCGTACGGAGATCATCGCTGTTTTTCGGAGCCCGAAACGGGTGTCGTTCGGGGAATGCCAGGAAAGCTTACCCGAAGCCTGTGATCCTCGGTTTAAGCTTACACAAAGGCCGAAACGCAGTCTTGTAATCACCATCTTGCAACCGTGATAACCGCACTTCTCTTCAGTTCTTGAGAGTGGCATTTGTCACTAACAAAACAAAATGACACAAATACAGACCTCCAGCGATCCAGAGACTCTCCATCTCCCCCGCATTCTCTGTCTTCACGGCGGCGGCGTCAATGCACAAGTCTTCGAACTACAATGCCGCGCTCTCATCAGAAGTCTCGCTTCCTCACTGCGTCTCGTCTTCATGCAAGCGCCCTTCATTTCTGCGCCTCACCCCGACATTGTAACCGTCTACGGTGAATACGGCCCTTTTCGGCGCTGGCTCCGCTGGCAGCCCGACCATCCCGAGATTGAAGCAGAGGCCGCCGCCGAGCTACTTCGGAACCAGACCCGCAGGGCTATGGACACCGACCCCGGCACCGGAGAGTGGATCGGCATTCTGGGGTTCTCGCAGGGCGCTAAGATTGCGGCGAGTTTATTGTGGACGCAGCAGAAAGTCACGGAGCAGTTTGGTGCGGAGGAGGCGCTGACGCAGTTCAAGTTTGGTGTTCTCATGGCTGGGAGAGCGCCTCTGATTACGCTGGATGCTCGGCTGCAACATCCCCCGGCGGTTGTTGATGCGGCGCTGTTGAGCTCCGAGTTCAAGGACTTCCCCGAGTCGAATGTTGGCGACCATGTCTTGACCATACCGACACTACATGTCCATGGGCTTCGAGACCCTGGACTCGAGCAGCATCAAATTCTGTTGAAGACATACTGCGCAACTGGCACGACAACATTGGTTGAGTGGGATGGGGGGCATCGCATACCCATCAAGAGCCACGATGTCGACGCTGTGACAACTGAGATCATGAAGCTGGCAAAGAACGCAGGCGTGAAGCTGCCAAACTGATTATCGCGAATGACTTCTTTTCTTTGTTTTTCCACCAAGTTACGATACACTCAGAATTTCCGGGTTCCAGGCTGTTTACTCACATAGACTAGACAACGATATACATACATATTATTGACTTCCCAGCAGCACATCCTATAGTCCCAGATTGAACCCTTTTCCCCCTTCGAGAGTCTTGTGTCTATGTCCTACTCGGTAGCTCGGACGAGAACTACTAAACCACGTATCGCACGGCGGCTGGTTTTATTTATAAATCTGCATTTAATAACGAAACTAGAAGTATAAGACCAGCTAAGTAAATCTCAGATCCATATACCTCAGACTGTATAATTCCCTCCATTCAAATCTGGAACTGTTAAACATCTAACATTGCCTAGATATTGATCCCTAGTTGGTTCTTTAGGTTAACAGTTTTGAACTCCTTCTTGACCTCTACAAACAGCTCTTTATCATTGCTGCTGCTGTCGCTGTTGGTCCCAGATTTCGATCATTGCAAGAATTGTTCTGTACTCTAAGTATGAACTTCGTGGTGGTGGTGGTAATGGTCTCGCGCGTGAAACCGAATTTTCGTTGATGATCTGCCGTAGCGAGACAGGTCTAGTGACCTCAGTTAGAAGTCCCAGCTGGCAGATAGCATCACCGTGGCTTTTGATCTCATTCGGATCGATCGAAGAGGTTTGTATGGCGACCTTACTATGGCCGTGCCGGTAAGCAACCAAATCCCAAGCCTCCACAACTGTAGTCTCTAGAGCAAGCTCTGATGTCCCCCGTACAGTAATGACGGCTGGCTCCCCATCTTCTCGAGGCCTCTGGTAGCGAAAGAGCATCGCTACGCCTTTTCTGCCGTTCCATAACTCCATCACGTTTAGTCTCGGCATCTTAAGTGCAGTGTAGGCAGCATTCTGAAGCATGTCACTAACATACTGTGGGTCTGCATCTCCAGTGAGGACGTTTGAAGTCAGCGCCAGTGAAGTAAGTTTACTCCACGTCCCTGAATATTGAATCTGAGGCGCCGCGAAGAAGAGACTGGCATCGGCCATGAAGGAGGCAGATAGCATCTCAAGGTGTTGACTAGTACGAGCAAGCCCCTGGCTCACGCCTTGGCTTGGCACCCTGATAGCGGGAGCCCGGTGTATTCCTGGGTAAGTCTGCCGGTATATTTCTGGGTAAGACTGATCGACGTTCTCGAATATTGTTAACTTGCATAATGATCCAATTTGGGGGAAGCTTTCGATCAGCTTTTGGTTCCCTATTTCCAAATGGTTAGCGGCTGCATCATTTAAGTTGTCGGAGATCAAGTAAGCACTTACATTTATCCGTCTGCAAGTCCATTCCACCCAATTCTCTCCAAGGCTCATAACAAACTTCCTTTATGTTTGGGAACCGCGTAAGCATATTAGCGATTGCGAGTGGCTTCCATCGTCGACGAGTCTGTTGGCGAAAGAGCACAACCCCAACCACAGGCACACGGGGGAGACTCCGCCACCACTGGAACTCAGTTTCGTCATCTGGGAAAGGGCCCTCGCCCATGATCTCGTCAAATACGTGATCTATGGTATGTTCACTCGGAGCAGCGATGGGCTGTCCGACAACCCAGCCATGAGCCGGGTCATTCACGGTGACTCCATGTTCGTGTCCATGATGAGAAGGCTCGACTGTGTCGGTGTCTGAGTAGAAGCTTATATACTTGAACCAGTGCTGGTTGTCACTGGGTGAGTAGACGCTGATATCGAGAACCAAGTCTCCACGAGGCTCCCATGCGCTTAGTGTTCTGAACAACTTATGAAACGCGTTCACGATGAATTGGTTGTCAACCGCGTCTAAGCCCCATCGGTCCTGGTTATTGCTCTCACATTCTGTGCAATCGTACCGCTTCAGTTCCACCCGAAACCAGATGTAGCGAATCTGGTTTCTCTTTCGGACCAGAATAGCTTGAGAGTTGGGCTCGGTAAGGCGCGGTACCGTCAGACTGATCTCGGCAAAGTTGAGCGGCTCGATAATTGATCGCCAAGCCCGGGAAACAGTCGCAAGCTGACTGCACTTCCCGCCGAGAATTGGCAGAAGACCAATAACCTCGTTCTGATTAGCGGGAGACAATCGATTCCATAATTTGCTGTCTATAGCCATTTTTATAAGCTTCCAGTAGGTTGAGTGTCAAAGATCGCAGTTGGTGTGGATTCAGGAGAATGTGGTGCTGTATTACTCGAGGTTCGGACCTTTGCTTCGGGGTTGAAGAGATTAAGATCGAAAGCCGGCTACTTCTGTCCTTATATAATTGATCTCCATTAACTCAGCCCCGACTTTGGGTCGTTAACTTTCAGCAGCAAAACTTACAATTCCCGCACAAACTCACCTTGCCTTGTTATGTTTTGTGTGCCTTGTGTTTTAAGCTGGATCATCACGGTTGAGTAAATGGCAGGCACTTATTTATATACCTTGAGAGTCATCAAAATATCTAGTTTTTCAGCTAAAAGCAAGATCTTAGGCAACAGGGCGATAAGCGAATTGCCTATATATGTTTATTGGTGCTCTTTACTTTATGCCTTGGGGATGGACCCTCCTTCAAACTCCTAACCTTATCGCAGTACAACCCGTCAAATCAAGTAGTGCCTGTAGGCCCAAGTATTGAAATTATTTAGGTAAGCAATAGCTGAGTATTAGATCTTCATTTCTAATTGTACTAATGAGCTGTTAAAGGTAATGATCAAAATACCCACGGGCACTACTCAACCTGTTCTCGAAATAGAGGATCGCACGGCAGTCGAAGAGCCAAGCACACCGGTCGTTACATCTCAAGTTGATATGCCACTACAGGATGCCTCCACGGCAGCCAAAACAGTCTCGTGAGGTTGTATAGTGTTATTAGAATAATCCTTTAAAACCCGTCTCCTGTCGCATGAATCGCGCATGGGCTGGAAGTCTCCCACAACACAAAATTTTGAAATGTGGACGTATTCTCAACTATGGACACCTGTTCAATCAAAAAAAAAAAAAAGGATTAAGAGGATGGCTCAGATTGTCGAAAGGTAGTGAACCAAGTCCCTTTACAGAGGCACACAACACACAAGCCGTTAGGTAATCGAGTGAGACGCACCTTAATGAATCCATTCCGTAAATGCAACGAGTAACCCGAGCTGGTAGCGATATAAAGACGCAAGTACTCGAGCTGTATAAATGGGTACCTACAATGAGAAGAGAATTATGGTGTTCTATGGGGGCCTAGAAAGTATTAATGAGGCTGCTTGTAGAAGAGACTGTGGATATGTACGGAAGGAAACTTATGACGAACAAGACCTGGAAGATGCTGGCCTGAAACTTGGCCAGATATGGCCAATGACTTTATCCACTAGATAAAAAGAGAGAAATAAGTAAGTTACCTTCTATCAGTCTTGCAAATTGAAATGAGGCTGCATTGAGTCGGGTGAAGAGGCACTCGTGACTTGGCGTTTAAGGATGATGCATGCTGTAGATTCACGCCATGTGCACGTCAACTTACATCCTGATACTATCATTGATCTTGGTGTAAGTACTTGGAAAGATTTTTGGTGCCGATACGTGATAGGGGATTCCCGGCGTTTGTCAAGCAGTCCGGATGCGATACGATAGGTGGGTGGTAAGGTCAGCGGTTTTTAGGGTAGGGCATTTACACAGATGCGAGGCATGTGGCTTCCGTAGGGTGTTAATGCAGTGCGTGGTCTGTTTGTGTACTCCTCTTACGCAGTAACTGACTGTACTCTTGGTGCGTCTAACACTGGTCGACATTGAATCCCTACTTGGCCAGTAAGTCCTGAAGGTCTCAGTTTCTTCCGCCGCTCTAGATTGACACTTTCCTATTCTCCATATTTTCTCTGCTTCTATTTCCCCCAGTTCCGGACCGTTATGCTACAGGATATGCTTCCTCCCTGTTCCACTTAGCTCCATGAGACGCCCGCCGGTTCCCTAAACTCCACCAGCCTAAGGCATCGCAAAGGTCTTCTAACCGCAACGAGTCTGGGGTGATGTGGAGTGATTGTATCAATGTATCCATCTGGCAAGAGTTCTAGGCACTCGAATACGAGAAGAGTCGACGTACCGTTACGTATCAATATAAAGGGAAGTTTACATTTATTGACGTGACCCGATGTAATAGCGAGCTGCATTAGTAATTAGATACCATGAGACTACTAGAACCGACACACAAGACCCATCAGTGCTCTATAGCATCTGGTCTTATTATCTGACAGCCCATAGTATAAGATGCTACTTTAAGCAGATTAGCAAGCAGACGTTAAATGGATCGGCGCCCCTGCAGGATCGAGGATACCGTCACGCCTCTAGTATCGAGCCTACGACAAAGACTAATGGTCATGCATTGAATCCTGGCGCTATTACAATGGCTTTCATTTACTTTGTTTTTCTTTAGCACGAATGCAGCGTTACGACACATCCTTTCGAATCTGAGGATATCGGCACTTAGTTTCACGATAAGCGATAGAACCAGCCGACACCATAGAGTGGTGACGGCAGATTCGTTCGTCAAAAATGACTGGAAGATACAAGCCAGAAGCCACGTAAATCGAGATACCGATCTCCGTTTGTTTCTTGTTCAAAGTGCTCATAAGATGTATGGAACTGATCATGGCTTCGGATCTTCGTGCATCTCCGAAATGCTCTCTGTTTTGGCTACATACCCCAAAACGTGCCTAAACCTCGCTTTAGATACTGGAGCTTTGGGGGTAGGGAAAAAACAGAAGAATGACTTACACCAAGGTGCTTTTCCTCACCCCCTAGCGGAGGTAAGACGTTGAACTTGGTCCTCCAACAGGCCTATCAAGTTAAGCATGCGGGGCTAGGAAAAGTGATCGATTGCCGATGCGCGAGATGCTCGCTTAGACGATCCGGCTGAGCCAAGAGGAGCCTTAGACAGCGTAGTGATTGGCCCTAAGTGTCACTAGCGCACACTCGCGGCTTCGGACATTTGCGCGAGGGTGGAGCGCGGCGACGCCTACTTTCGCCTAAAACTAACTGTCAATAAGACGTAACGCCTGATTGCACTGGAGATACCATACATCAGGCAAAGAAGCTCAGCCTCTCTGCCTCGTTAGGCCTACCGCTTTTTTCTTCTTTAGTTAGAAGAACCTCCTCAGTTCAATGTATTTCTCCGAAGCATTCAATCAAGGCGCAAAGACGGCGTGCCAACTTGCGTTCTCTCCATTCTCAGCGTTGATAAACTCATCCTCCGTATCGCTAGAATCTGTCGGCTCAGCGTGAACCTCGCTGTCGATCAAATGTCTTGGCTTCCGAGGGCTCTCGGCTGTTGATTCAGCCGTGCCCCCACATGATAGTAGAGGTGTTGTTGGTTCTCTCATCAGGCTGAGGAGCCAGGGTTTAATCCTTTTGTTGTCCAATCCGTCAGTGACCAAAGTCTCAAAGAATCTAGAATGAACTGATGTGCGGGTTAGCTCCAACGCCACAACTCGTCATTGCACAGACTTTGACAAACAAGTTGAAAGCTGAACGTCCTGGATCGAGCTTCGCGTACCACCTCCACAAATAGGACAAAGCCCATTGGACCGCATTCGTCGACAAGGTTGCGACTGTGTGCAATTGCAAGGGTGCATTTCAGACCATGAGCTGCCAGGCGATGCTGATCTGTTTAGCACTCTCTGTGAAGGGTGTAAGGTTATGATAAGGCGCTAAACATGCCAGGGGCCTTACAACCACGTGCCACCGTTTTTTAGTCAACCCGTTTTCTCCAACGCTCAAAGTTCAGATCACAAGAGTAGAACTTCGGCGGTCTAAGCCATCGCAATAAGGCGGTTCAGAATCATATAATAAAAAGGGCTTTCCCCGGAATGTAGGTAAAGAGGCTCACTGGTTCTATCTGAAGGGCATCGCAATCACTACAGCCGATGAGCGACAAGATAGAGAGCTCCAAACCACGGGGTGATTATTGAGGCTCTCGAGCTGTATCTTGAGGCTGACTCCTAACTTTAACTTTCTTGAGGGTGTCTACTCTGCTGTGTTGTGGGTCACCTGTATGTGAGGCCTTTCCATTAGATGGTTTCGCAATGCTGGAATACGCGTTGGTTCATCATGTCCGGAAGAGGAACCAACAATGTGAAGCGGTTGGACAATGGAAGTCAGATAACATGTCGGCGGCGCTTTAAAACCAGGCAGTCCGCTTCGCAGTGAAGAAACAAGACGTGCATTCCAGCTTATCTTGTATTCTGGTCAACCCTTTTCCGATCACTCTTTCACTCTTCCTGATACCACAGGCGATATGGTTCCTCCAGCCTCTGCCTTGAACCCCACCGGGTATATGCCAATTGACACAGTCAAACATGCCCGTGCAGTTGTCAATAAGTGTATCGATGGACGTCTACAGCTAGTTCCTCGCGGCCCAGACGATCGAGAAGCTGCTCAATTCTCATGGCCACCGAACCCAGTCTTTGTCTTTGAAGATCTGGACCAAGTGTCCGGTTCACCCGCATTTTTTGAGGAACCCGAACCCAGATTTTGCATCAGAGATATCCCGAGTGACACTCGAGTCAATCTCACACGGAAATCTATAACAATCGTGGTGAAGGGTCGAAGATATTGTGTGGTTGTGATTTGCAGCTCGCAGGCCAGGCAAGAGAACCATTATGGGCATCCTGATTTGCAAATGTCTTGGCCTTCAGAGATGAAACTACCCGAAATCCACGCGCCGCCTCAAACACATGCAGCACCATTGGAGGCTGCTCTACACGATATGAAAGGTTCGGGAGTGGAATGAAGACTACACGACAGCGTTGAAGATAAGAGGGCATTTTCAGCAGTGCCGAGATTTGAGCCGGGATCAGTCTTTGGCCTCGAAACATTATTTTTGTATGAACCTTTTAGTCATTGGTAGCTAGGATCCTGAATCTTCCATAAAGTTGAACGAGCTTCGCAAATCCTGGTGGAGGTAGCTGCCAGATCAGCCTCGCCCAGGGCATACCTATCGCATCAGTAGCATGTTAGATCGCTAGATTGCATCTTTCCACCTACAATCTACATAAAAATATCACCGGATTCCGCTCTTCCGAGGGCAGCGAGAGGTGGGGTGCGCAAGAGTGTCTCTATGACCATTGCTTCACCGCTGGAGAGTCTAGAAGCGCCAAAGT